TACTAGAAGTAGAACATTGTGGGGATGAAGCTGAATGTGTTCTTTAGTTTTCTGAGCAACTTTCTTACAGGGAAAGGAACTTTCATTAAAAATTACATCTCTGGAAACATAAACTTTTCCTGAGGATCTATTTAGACACAAATAACCTTTGTGAAAGTGGCTATGTCCCAAGTACACACATTTTTCTGATTTGTTATCTAGTTTATGTTTAAAGTAAGGTCTCAAAAGAGGATAGCAAGAACAACCAAAGCCCTTAAAAGAATTATATATAAGTCTTTTGTTATACAACAACTCAATTGGGATCTGATTGTTTAAAGATTTAGATGGGAGATGATTTATAATTCTAACAGCTTCATGGAAGGCATATGGCCAAAAAGACTTGGTAACATAGCTATAGTTAAGAAGGCATAGCCAAACTTCAACAATTTATCTATTCTTTCTCTCTACTCTCCCATTTTGTTGAGGAGAATAAGGGCAAGAGATTTCATGTGTTATACCTATAGACTTAAGAAACTAATGGACTAACCTAAACTCCCCTCCCCAATCAGATCTAAAGGTCTTGATACTCCTTAAAAACTATGTATGAACCATTTTGTAGAAAATTTGAATGATAGGTAAGGTTTCTTCTTCACTTCTCATAAAATATATCCAGATAACTCTAGTATAGTCATCAACAAGCAATAGAAAATATTTAGAACCATTTACACCATTAATCGGGGTAGGTCCCCAAATATCAGCATGAATTAGGTTCAATGGTTTAGCAGCTTTGCTTTGAGAAAGAGAATAGGGCAATTTATGATGTTTTGATTGGATGCAAGTAGAACAAACCTCATATTCATTAACATGTGAAACTTCTAAGTTGCAAAAGCTAGACAGTTTTGACAAAACATCAACACTAGCATGTCCCAGCCATGCATGCTAAGTGGAAACATCATTCATACATTTAGCAAATAGGATATAGGATTAACACAAGCAGAAAAAGTAGAAAAGGAAGCAACTGTAGCTTTGTGACCATTAACGATTGGCTTTGAAGAGCATACGAGTTTGTACAGCCCTTGCTCATGGGTTCCTGGTAGCAACAGCCAACTGGTCATCCGATCCTTGACAAGGAAGGAGGAAGCATCAAATTCAACCAACACATTGTTATCATGCCATAGTTGAGGCACAGTTAGCAAATTTTTTTTCATGTGAGCAGTATGAAGAATGCGATTGAGAAAGATAGGTTAAGATTTAAAATCTACAGATTTAGAACCTATATGGAGGATTGGAATTAAACTACCACTGCCAACCATTACCCTTAACTTACCATGATAAGGGGAGCCGGAAGACATGCCTGCGAGACTCAGTGAAAGGTGGTGTGTTGCCCTTGTGTCAAGGAACCATTCATCTGGTTGAGGGAGTCAACCACCATTGTTAGAAGTTATCTATGTATCAAATGGAAGAAAAGGGAAATTGAGCCCTAGATTTCCCGGGTCAGTAACTGGGAGAGTTGGAGCTGGGTAAAGATTTGGATCCGGGCTAAATAAGAGATGGGCTTAGGTTGGTGAAGCTTGGGCTTGCAAATTGAGTATATGATAACACTGGGTCGCGGTGTGCCCAGTTTTAAAATAGTACTGGCACTTAACCCGACCCTTTTGGTTGGTAGCTCGTGGACCATTTTTGACAGAAACTAGGCTGAGGGCTTCGACCAACAATCTAAACTGTGGCCCAAAAGACTATGGCCCAAAGAATTGAGGCCCACGCTATGTAGGGCACCGTTGTTGCCCCTAACACTGCACAACTTGTGTCAGCGCCTCAAACTTGCCGGTCTTTTGAAAGTTTCCCCAAGGGTTCTTCGATCCAAGGCTAAGTGAGCTCAACTATGCTTGAGGTAGTGTGATTGATTCTGCAACTGAATGTTTCTCAAGCCGATTCTCATAGGAGAGTAAAAGACTCTGTACCTCTACGATACTCAGCTGGTCAGGATGGTTGTAAACAGAGATGACAGCCAGATCATACTCCGCTAGTAATCCCTCCAGAAGATGGGCTAGGTGATCTCGATAGCTCACTGGTTCACCAACAACAGCAAGGCTATCAACTGGATTCTTCAATTTGCCCAAGTACTAAGTGATTGAATCTCCCCCTTTGGTAAGCTATTGCAGCTAGACACGAAGATTCATGACTCTTACTGTTGTTGCAGATTCATAACTTTGTTGAAGTGATTCCTAGATATCATGTGCAGTGGATAGCCCTACAATGTGCGCCAAAGGTTCGGGAAATAGAGTTGGATAGAGCCAACTCATTATCAATCGGTTTATCTGATTCCATGTGATGAATTCAGAATTCCTTATTCTATGTTTCGAATCCAAGAATTCAATAGGTTGAGACACTTCTCCAGTGATGAAACCATCCAATCCATTCACATAAATAACATTCAACAGCTGGTTTTTCCACACCATATAGTTACCTTCTTCGAGTTTAATTGAGGGAGCTTGAGAGAAGTTAGGCATTTGAGTGATTTGAGGTAGAGAAAAAGAAGACAATTGAATTCCTACGGCAAAGACTCCTTCTCGTCCTTCTTGAGGAGAGTTGGAGGTGTTGGAGTTGTTTGAGGCCATTTGAAGCAGAAGATAGACAAGAAAGATGAAGGTGAAGGGAGTGATTTGAACGTCCTATAATGGCTCTAATACCATGTAAGAACTCCAACTAGAGAGAAGGCAGAGTATAGCAAGAAGAAAAGAAGCTCAAAGCTAGAGAAAATTATGTGTATTGCCTTGGAAAAATTACAATTCAACAATGCTGTAGCAGATTACATATATACACTGCATGAGCATGAGCAAAAAATCTACTCTGTACAGACTCGGACAATTACAAAGAACATAATGTATACATGTGTACAATTGGTTATAAAAAGAGTAATGGAATAAAAAGAAATAATAGCATACAGATGGCCCATATAGCAGCAAACAGGCGTCCTCAGTGCAGTGCCTTGATGTTGCTTGGTTCAACTATGGTAGGGTGAGGTGCTCTAACAAAAGTCATGAAGCATGTATCACATTTTGAGAAGAAGAGAGGTGAGACTGAGAAAGCAGGTAGGCAAGGCCATACTTTGGGTTCAAAGAAAAAATTTGAAAAGATACTTTTCAAGGGACAATGTAATTACTACAAGAAAGTAATTTATAAGATAGCAGATTATTTAAGCTCAAGAGAGAACGTGAATGTGAAGGTACTGTTATAGATCTAGTTTGTCTTGAATCCAAGCTTACTTATATTTTGCCAAATTCATGGAGGTTGGATTCTTGTGCAATTGTTCATATCATACATTCCTTGTAATGGTTTAAGAATGGGAGGGGACCAAATGAGAAACAGAAAGAAGCCTCTAGAATATATGGGAAGGTGATAGTTGAGTTACTATGAACCGCATGTCTCAAAATTACCTTCAAGACGTGTATTAAAACTCAAGAATATTGTTTGTGAACTTCTACAAGAAGGAATCTAATTTCGAGTTCTCTTTGGATAGTTGTGATTATTATTATTATTATTATTATTATTGCAAGAAAATGGAAAGATAGTTATGTATTTTAAAGTTCCTGTATATTTTTCAAAGGCTTATATATGGCTGATTGGAATCTTGTGTCCTTCTTGATTGATGATTCTTTTCTCAATATAATTGTGGGACACGATTCATCTTTATGATATCTAGAAGAGCTGTTTTACGAAAAAGTGGCACACAGACACGTACAGCTACCTTAACTATGGAGAAAGTAGAATATGTTACTTTTTATGAGGCCACTCATGAGCTCATATGGTTGAGAAACTTGATTTCTGGTTTTCATATCATTGAGTAATTGAAGACCCTTAACCTTTAATTGTGACAATAGAGTTATCATTTGCTTCTCTTAAAAAAGTAGTTCTAAATGACATAAACATTCTTATGTTAAGTTTCACTTTGTGGGAGATAATATCCTCGAGTCTCTAACTAGTATTGAACATGTTACTAATTTCATGTTAGCAGATCATTTGATTAAAGACTTACATGTTAAGAATTTCGGACGCATGATTTAAACTGGTCTTGCTAATAATAATACTCTAGTTTAGTGGGAGCTTGTTTTGAGTTTGTTTTTGAACTTGTACTAAATTTGATATAAATTTGCAATAAATGATTGGATAATCTACTTTTTGGATATGTCTGAATGCATATCATCTATTACATTTCATATCACTTTAAATTTTAAGGCACCACATGTATGATACATGATCCCTATTGGATTGATATTTATATTATCTTAAAGTTTAGTCTTTTTATTGATATTTATATTATCTTAAAGTTTAGTCTTATTATTGAATTTTGTGGTTGATAATTGTTCACTTGATATTTGGCTTTCCTTGTTAAACATGGTTAATGTAATTCAGGTGAGACAATGTTGGATTTAATTTGATAATCTATGTTGATTTGCATTAACCCTATTAGTTTGGTGGTAAATGTATTTTATTAATGGGCTGATATACATTAAGCACTAGTCATATCCAAAAAACTTCTATCCTCTCTCTTATTATTTGCCAGTTCCTATTTCTCGTCGGCGATGCATGCAATGAGTTGGCAAAGCAATGGACACAATACACTGCCTCATATATGTACGCAGAGAGTGTCTAGATGACCTATATTTGGCGTGTGTTTGTTTTTGTGTGCCTCTTGCCCGATTTGCTTCGGGTTTCTTATGTCCTGTACTTGTGCCCACCACCCATCAAGAGAAGGGCTAGAGGCTCCTCTGTGTCATCTAGTCTCCACTTCGCTATACAGCCATGGACGCTTTTGCATCTCAAAGTTCGTATTTCTCCATTTAAGTTTCAATACATGTTATGTGACGTAATCAAAATCGACCTGTCAATAATACAAACATACATACGTACATATATATATAGAGAGAGAGAGAGAGAGTGGGACAGTTGTAAGATTTCTTATTTTCTTTAATAAAGATGCCACTGATAGGACTGAAATAAAATTTATTTATAGGAGCTAGGCCGCATTGAACGGAGCAAAGGCCGGAGAGGGGGAGAGAGAGAGAGAGAGAGAGATGGCAGAATCTGATAAACCTCACGCAGTGATGGTCCCAGGCCCAGCTCAAAGCCACATCAAAGGACTCTTCAAACTTGCTAAGATTCTGCACCGAAGGGGCTTTTACATCACCTTTGTCAACACAGAATTCAACCAAAGACGATTCGCAAAAGCCCAAACACCCGATTCCCTAATTGGGTTGCCTGACTTCCAGTTCAAAACGATTCCGGACGAGCTCCCTCCGTCAGACCGGGATGCCACCCAGGATGTTACTGCTCTATGTAGATCCATTAGAAGGAACATGTTGCCACACTTCCGGAGTCTCCTTGGCCAACTCAACGACGCTGCAACATCGGCTAATCCTCCGGTGACCTGCATCGTCTCCGACGGTGTTATGCCCTTTACCATCACAGCAGCTCAAGAGCTCGGCATCCCTGTTGCCATTTACTGGACTTTAGCCGCTTGTGGCTTTATGGGCTTTTACCAGTATCGAGCTCTCCTGGACAGAGGTCTCACACCACTCAAAGGTACGTCAAAATTGATATTTATTTCCATTTGTGTACTTTAACCAATTATAATGAGATTTTAAAAAATATACAAAGGAAAATACAAAGAACTGAATGCGTACACTATAGGAGTGGTGCAAACACTCCACATGTGGGCAGTGCTGGTTTAAATAGGGGTGTTTGCTCACCCTAATCCATTGCTTGTTTGGAGGGAAGATAAAGAGGAGAAAAAGGTGTAGAGATAAAGTAGGTATGGAATGGGCTTTCCTTGTTTTCGTTGGATGGATGTAGCAAGGAAAGGAATTTACTCTCTTCTTTTGGCAAATATGGAAGGAAAGGCCTTGTTGGTCGTGTCAGACCAGCAAATCGATTGGGAAGTACACAGTTTGGATGCAATCATGCCCATCCATATGCGTAGGTGTAAAAATAATTTGTAGAAAACGATCATGAAAAATTATAGTCAAGATGAAAACCATCTGTGCTTGTTTAAACCATTAAAAAAATCGTAAATCAAATGAAACCAAATCATAGTTTGATTTGATGTTTTGAACACTACTATCTACTGTGCAAGCCCCTTCTGAGGGTGTGTTTAGTTATTTTAAAAAGGCATTGGAACGAAAAAATCTAAGTTATAAAAGATAAACATAAAATCACTAATTTATATATATATTTTAAAAGAAATGATTGATTGGTTAAACTATATTATTTAGCAATAGAAAGTATGAAATATGAAGGACAAGAGTTGGGAATATTTAATAGTGGTTTGTTTGGGAAGGTGCAGATACAAATTACCTAGCGAGTGGGTACCTGGAGACTAAAGTAGACTGGATTCCAGGAATGAAGGACAAGGATGTTCGTCTAAAGGACCTTCCATCGTTTTTCCAAACAACCGACCCAAACGACGAAATGTTTAACTTCCTCATGGAAGCCGCTGAAAAAGCTGTGGAGGCATCAGCTTTTGGCCTACACACTTTCGATGCGTTGGAACCGGACGTTTTGGAAGGTATTTCCTCTTTGTTCCCAAACATGTACACAATTGGTCCTCTGGAGTTGCTTCTGAAGGGGACATCGAAAGGAGAAGACAAATTGGAATCTCTGGGCTACAATCTATGGAAAGAAGAACAAGAGTGCCTCCAATGGCTAAATTCCAAGGAACCCGGTTCTGTCCTTTACGTCAACTTCGGCAGCATCACCGTCATGTCACGGCAGCACTTGGTGGAGTTTGCTTGGGGACTGGCCAATAGCAAAAGCCACTTTCTCTGGATAATTAGGCCTGATCTTGTGATTGGTAAGGAAGGTTGGCACAATTAATATGATTCAAAATGCATATTGGACAAAAATTTCACACAATTTATCTCACTTTAAGTGTGTTTAAATTGTTTTTAATTTCTACGCAACCTTACAATCAATTAATACATTCATTTAGATAATATAGTTTCTTTAATATTGTCCTCTAGAGTACTATGGTCAATTTAAAAAAAAAAAAACAAAGAAAAATAATGTAAATCCCTTACTTTTTTGTGAGCATGTTGAGTTCATGCTCTTGGGAGAAATAAGGGCAGTATGCTCGGGAAAAACATCAAAAGAAAAGACAATACAAACATTGACACGTTCTGATGCGATAAAAAAAACTTTTGACACCAATTTGATATGACTTACTTCATTTTTGGTGTGCTTAAATTATATTCAACTTTAATAAAGTTTACAAATAGAACTTAGACATGTTCATGTGACAAAACACATCATAACAAAAGTGCTTTTATCATTAATTTGGCACCATATCATCTTAATTTTTCTCGTGTTTAATTTATTTCTTAATTTCGGTAAAACTTTTTATTTTTTGACATATTTTAATATGATAATTAATCTTTTTGCAAGTAAAAATTGTCATCTGCAGGTGAGACGGCGGTACTGCCGCCTGAATTCGGAGAGGAAACAAAGGAAAGAGGGATGATAGCTAGTTGGTGCCCGCAAGAGCAAGTACTGAACCACCCCGCTGTGGGAGGATTCTTAACGCACAGTGGTTGGAACTCCACCATCGAGAGCTTGTCGGCGGGGGTGCCCATGATTTGTTGGCCCTTCTTCGGGGATCAGCCGACCAACTGCAAATTCACCTGCACCACATGGGAGGTCGGAATGAAAATCGACAATGATGTGAAAAGAGAGGCAGTGGAAGGGGTGGTGAGGGAGTTGATGGAAGGAGACAAGGGGAAGAAGATGAAGATCAAGGCATGGAGTGGAAGGAATTGGCGGAAGAGGCCGCCGGTCCGGGTGGATCATCTACTTTGAATTTGGAGAAATTCGTCAAAGTACTGCTACCCAGAAAGTAGACTTTACAGAATTCCAGAGTAATATGGCTTGAGGAAGTGGGCCAAGAACTTCATTGTTAATTATCCGACGGGTGGCATCATTAAACTCGCAAGTTATTACTAGTTGGATAAAATAACTTGAATAATTAATAAGTTTTGTTTCCTTAGAGAAACATCATTTGACATTTATTGGCCACGATTTCTTTCCCTTATTATAAAACCTTTCTCGTGTTGGTGGACGTGCTTTCTCACCATTTAACTACTAAAATTCTGATAAAGTAAATTCTAAAAATGTTTCTAGATAACTCTCTTAATACTTTTTTCTTTCTCTCAACATATTTGACACTTATGCAGTCTGTTTTTAGAAAATTTAGGGAAAAATAGCAAGTTGGATAGTTTGGTGAAATAAATAATTTAGAGGGTTAAAATGAAAAATATTCCTATTTATAGTCAAAAGAAAAAAAATTATCAAGATAACAAACATTCTTAAAATGCTCATATTATTATATATTTATAATAATTATTACGTGCAGATTTACAAGTGGGAAAATTTTAATTTCATCTCTCAAGTTTGATCTCAATTGTAAAATCATTCTTGTAATTTCAAATTTAAGCAATTTTATTTTCTCAACAAATTTTGGCAATGCCTTATAGCCAAATAAAAGAGTACCTTAGTCTTTAAACATATAATAATTAGTAAAAAAAGAAATGGCCCCACAAATTTTTCTGTTATTGCTTTCAACCAATCATTGACAAGCCTTCTTCTATTTCCATCCCTTTCAACTACAAATTAATTTATTTGTAAATATAATTAGAGTGAGTTTTAATAGTTGTTATTATGTTGATTATATTTTAGAATGTGTTTTAATTTGTAACTATATTAGAATATTTAAAATTTTATTAAAAATGATAATAACTAATTCATAATATCAATAAATTATGTCAAAATAATGTCATACTATATTATATTTATATTCAAATTTTATTGTTTTGTATAATTTTTAAACCATAAGTATTGAAATTCTAAATTATTAATACCATATTATATTCATATAAAATTTGTCATATAAAAAGGTTGATATTTATTTAATTTATAAATACATCAAGTTTTAGAGGTGCTATCAGCCATACATAAAGCCTTATTTATATTTGTTAACCGAAATCACAAGTAAAACCTAATGTATTTACAAATTAAATAATTGTTATCTTTTTTATATAACAAATTTTAATAATCTCAAATTTTATTAAATCAATAATCAAATCATAAGAATTGATTTCACAATTGCCCAGTAAATCCCCCCCTCCAAATTCAATTTGGTTAAATTTGAGACACTACAAGAAAACCTTGATTTTTTAACAATAATTTTGCATCAAATTTTAAATTTGTTGCAAATTTGATACAATTTGTAATAAAAATATATTCTGTTGCAAAATGTGCAAAGAAATTTCTAATTTGCAACAAACTATATTTTTTATGCAAATTGTTTTGTGTTTTGCAAAAAAATTATATTATTGTTGCAAAAAGTGTTAATTGTTACAACAAAAATATATGTTGTTGCAAAAATTAATAGTTTTTGCAACAAAAATATATGTTGATGTAAAGAGTATTAGTTTTTGTAACGAAAACATGTGTTGTTACAAAAATTATTAATAGCAAATATATGTGTTGTTGCAAAAATTTTTAGTTTCTGTAACAAAAATATATGTTGATGCGGAAAATAATATTTTTTTTTCAATGACAAAATATATTGATGCAAAATGTAGTAGTTTTTGTAACAAAAACATATAGTGTTGCAAAATGTATGATTTTTTGTAACAAAAATATATGTTGATGCAGAATATATTAGTTTTTTTCAATGACAATATATATTGATGCAAAATGTAATAGTTTTTGTAATACATATTGACACAAAAAGTAATAATTTTTGTATCAACAAATATTTTCATTGCAAAAATTAATAATTAAAATTTTTCAACCTAAAAATCTTTTAAATTGTGGCAACCTTCCCTGCTCTTATGGCTTTCATACCAATGTAAGCTCAAGAACTAGATAATAATTTGAAGAACAAATAATTTAAAATACAGAATTTAAAAATAGATATTAAAAATAGAAATTAAATGCAGATATTGAAGAACATAAATTAAAATATTTACAATAATTAAAACTTCAATTGAAATTGGAGTTGCATTGAATAAAATTGGAGAATACAATCTTGGGTATGCAAGGAAGATTGAGATTACAAGAGAGATTGAGACTCAAATGATTTCTCAAGTGGAAGCCAAGTAATATCTTAACAAATTGCGAAGGCCTTCTTATATAAACATTAGACTTGAAACAAAATGAAATATAATTTGTTTACAATAATTTGATTACAACTTTAATCACGTGAACTCCTTTCTTTTGCTGGTCTAATTGAGGAATCACGACACTCCTTTCTTTTGCAAGTCTGATTAAAGAATCATGGCAGCTTTGCAGGTATTATCAGGAATCAATTGCGCATGTTTGTCGGGAATTATTTGCGCATGCTTGAAAATTGTAGCTTTTGAACCTTTGATCCTTTTGAATTCTGGAGAACAATACCCTTTTTGTCATGTTGATGGTGTCTACATGCTTGAATTGGTCCTTTAAATGATCTTTTCACACATGTTATTAATTTGTGCATATCTTGAAATATCTTGGAATCATCATAATTTTTTTTTTCATTTTTTTAAGTAAGGTAATTTGGATGAGAGTCAACATAGTTTACTCACTTCTTACTTTTACCCTTACTTTTGGCTTTTGAAGAGCTAGGCATTTTTTGTGATTGCTGAATATGTGGGAGGATGCCAAAATAATTATCCTAATTATCCTGGCCAGATCAATAGAAAGGGATTAAGAAGAAGAAGGTGATTGGGTACTCTCATCATTATTAGAATCAGGGAGGGATTGGAGGGTTTGAAGAATTAATCTTTTGTAATCCTTCTTGGATTTTTCTAAGGACAATTCAATAATATTTTTGGATTTTGCAAAAGGAAGTGTGGGTCACCTGCCATTAGAATAGCAAAAGATTTTGTGGGTGGTCAACTTCAAAATTAAATTGGTCTCGCCACTTGATTTTAAAGTTTCTTGCTATAGATATGGGAAATTTCTTTGGAGGATAGCATAATCCTGAGATACTATCCAAGCTAAAAAAAAAAAAAAAAAGGAGAAAAAGTAAAAGAGGATTGGGAGTTGGGGCATAGAAGTAAGGATTTTGAATTTTTCTTGGAAAATATTGAGTCTATCTTGTGCTTGAGGTGGAAGAATTTGGGTTGATGGACCATAATGGAACCACCAAGTGAAAATTCAATTTGGAGTCAGGTTGGAATTGAAGTCTTTGTTGGAATAAATCATCTAAGAATGTTTAAACAATTTATTTTGTAAGAAGAATACATTGTACCAGGCTATTCGATAGTCCCAGTAATTAAAAATTGGAGGAGAAAAGTTTCGAAAGGATTTTCTATTTTGATTTGGATGTTGACCCTACTGTTTTGGAGTCAAAATTTGGTGAATTTGGCAAGTTGAATATGCAATTTGGGTTGGATCTTGATTATTAGGATAATGCTTGATTAAAATTGAATTAGTATCTTTAAGAATAAATTCATAGAATCTTGGAGTTTTGGAAACAATTGAAGCAATAAATTGAAATGTTGAAGGGAAAACTTTTGAAGGAATTTTCCAGGGATCTTCATCTTAAAAAGCTTTTTCTAATAAAATAATTTTTTGCTGACACCCAATTTTTGTAAAATATTAAGATTTTTGAGAAGAAAATTAGGTGTTTGAACTTTGTTTTTGAATGGAAGAGCTCGATACTTCCCCAGATTGTGGCTTTGCAACCACAATTTTTGTAAATGATTGGGTGAGAGGCCTTGCCACAGAGGCAGAGCCAAAGATTGGCCCTAACTGTCCATATTTTTGAAGGGCCTATTCTTGTTCTTTTTGTAGTGTGATTGCATGTCAATCCTTTTCAGAGATTGGTTTTAATTGGATGGCTTGGGTTGCAGGTGTTTGGTTATTGGCAAAGCATATGAGACTTTAGTGGTTTTTTGGTTGGCTGTTTAGGCTAGCTTGGAAGTGGAGGTGTTCTTTTTGGACGGCATTTTATTAGGCTAGGCTTCCCTGTGAAAATTCTCTACTTAGAAAATTGGGGATGGAATTTGATTCTCCTTTAATATATTCAATTTTAAAGTAAAAAAATAAATAAAATTGCTTGCCATCTTGCAAAGATTTGTTTTGATGCAATATTTTAAACATCTTTTGCAAAACATGTTTTGCTGCACTGCAGTCAACTCTTATTAAAAAAATTTGATTTAACAAATCAATTTGAAATTTTGAAACACATAAAACAATTGCCAAAATTTCTTTTTTAATAGTACTATAATTCCTTTGGGCTTGGTTGCAGGTTCCTCATGTAAACCTAACCAATTGTTATTGGGTTTGCCATAAAGATCTTTGCTTAAGGATGCCTCCATAACCTATGTCAGAAGGATCAATTTCTATAATTTTGCAAGCTTTTGGATTTGCTAAGTGTAGACACGAGAGAGTTTTTAGATAGACTTTTACTCGTTTGACTATTTTGGTGTGCTCTGAAGACCAAGCTTGTGGGTTTTTCTTGAGTCTTTGTCTAAGTAGTGCTGTTATTTGGCTTAATTTTTCAAAGTAGTCACTAATAGAATTGAGACCACTTAAAATTCTTTGTTTTTATTTGAGATTCTAAAAAATCTTTTGTATATGGTAGGCCTACTATATGCTTTTTTCTTTCCCAAAAGGCATTTGGTAAATTTGAAGAGGCTTGTTTTATTAATTTTTCTTGAAAGTTTGATATTGCTAATTGTATATTTTTGTCTAATAATTCTTTTTGAATATTTTGATTCATTTTTTCATCTTTTAATAAATTTAATTGTTTTTCCTTGGAAATTATTCATATTATTGAATTAAATTGCTTTTTAGGTATATTGCTA